ATCAAACTCATTCTATCCATCTTTGATTAGTTTTTTTCTCATATATTAGTAATATACATGTCGCAGGAAATTCCATTTCTATGTATGATAACCTGCAAGTTCCGTATTTTCTTTACATTGCAGTAAAAGAGAAAGATTGTGAGATCACATTTCTGGACACACCTGGACATGCGGCATTTGCTAAGATGCGGGAACGTGGAGCACATTCAACTGATATAGTGGTTTTAGTAGTAGCTGCGGATGATGGAGTAAACGAGCAAACAGTACAGTCCATAAAGTAGGCTCTTTTGGTTTGAATCTTCTGACTTTAACACAGCAAAAATTTTCAATATAGTTAAAGATACAGTTAATTTATGCAGTGAAGCTGCTTCTTATATACTTCATTTGCATTGCCACTCAAATGCTTTGAAATACTTTATCTCAATTAAAGATTTAAAACTAACCATAATAGTGTAATGTTTTATTTAAATTTGTAGAATTTTATTTCTTTCAGTTATGCAAAGACAGCAAACGTACCTATTGTAGTTGCCATTAATAAGATTGACAAGGCTAATGCTAACCCTGTGAGTAATTTTAGAATTCACAGCATTTTTTTTTGATTGATCTGAAGACGAGGTTATGTTCAGATTAAATTTCATTTATTCAAATTTTCAGATCAAAGCTAAACAGTCGCTTGTGGAACACGGAATTTTGGTTGATGACCTTGGTGGTGATGTTTTATGTGTTGAAATTTCAGCTCTAAAAGGTGAAAATGTGGATGAACTGAAGGTTATTGCTTTTCTTACACCACTTGTTTATTTCAGTGCTTGTTTCATTGATAACTATTGCAATATTAGAAGATTATCAAGAAGGAATTTCAATGATGCGAATCAAAAATTATTCAGGAAGCAATACTGCTGCAAGCTGAGGACATGAATTTGCGTTCAACTTGGAGTGGACTAGTGGAAGGAATTGTGATTGAATCGAAAATCCAGAGTGGTATGTTTTTACTTACCCAGAAAGTATACTATTCGATTCTGATGATGGAACATGCTACTCTTATAGTTATTTGAAGTTAAACGATTTAGTGATGAATAGATTTAGGTTGATGATTGAGAATGATTGTGCATGTGGTCATTATTTAAAGTTCGGATAGCCTTTATAATATCTGACTAGAATAGCACTGGAAGTTATATTAAACTAAGTAGTTAATAATATTTAGTTAGAAATCAATTCAACATTTGAGAAGTGTAATGACGGTATAAATTTTTACTTTATTTCTAATACATATTTAATTTTCATCGTGTCTTCATTTTTTCTTCTCTATAATTTAGGTATTGGCAAAGTTTGTACAATGATTGTTCAACGTGGTACTCTCGTGAAAGGCGCAGCACTCGTAGCTGGAACATGTTGGGCTAGGGTTTGTCATCAATTTTGTTGCACAGAAAGAAGTGCTCTGCAGACTATTTGCTCTTCCTATCTCCTATTTTTTTTTCTATTTTGCCAAACTTACTTTCGTATCATGACTACCAAATCAATCGTGATATAATAATTCCCTAAACTGTTTACTACTTGGAATTAAAATTATTATAGGTTCGTTCAATGCATGATGAATTTGGTCACGACTTAGTGAAAGCTATCCCAAGTACCCCAGTAGTTGTCTCTGGCTGGCGTGAAAATTTGCCTACTCCAGGAGAACGAGTTCTGCAACTGGAAAATGAATCAAGAGCTCAGGAAGTCGTTCGTTATAGACTGAAAAAAGAAATGAATAAAAAAGCAGAAGAAGATTGGGTGAGTCATCCCATACAACTCGTCTAGCTATTTCTGATATAGTTGTGAACTAACAAAAATTCATCAGGACAGCTAATTAGTTATCCTGATTTGTTTCTTCTCGTATTCCTCTTGATTTCAAGATTCCATTTCAGAAAACAGCTGAACAGCGAAATGAGAAAGAAAGAAAGGAATATTTAGAAAATCGCCGTAAGTTATTAGATGCTGGTTTACGTGCTGGTTCCACATTGCGCTTGATCGTCCATAAAGTAGGTTACATAATGATTTATCGAAAGTCAAATTTATAATAATTTGGTGACGAAAGTTCTCATACAGTTATCAAATCTTTAGAAAATGAAATATATAAAGGAGTTTGTTCAGGAGCAGAAATATCAAAAAGATGTTGGAAATCAAAAACCATACGTAAGGTTGATGCTAAACACTGATGTTGATGGAACTCTAGAAGCTATCCTAAATGTCTTTGACACCTACAAGTCGGAGGAAGTTGAGCTAGATCTTGTGAAATTTGATGTTGGGCCTCCGAGTGAGAGTGATGTCAAGTTAGCAAAAGATCTTGGAAGTATATGTTTCACTATATTCAAATTCATATCCAGTAAAATGACACTAAAAATTTTCATGTTAGCTAAATAAGTGAACTTACATTCATAGAGGCAAACTGTGTTTAATGGTTCTCAATATTAACTGAAAGAAGTATTATTTCGTTTAAATAATTTTTTATTCATGAGTAAATTTGAAGTAAAACTGAAGGAAGGAGTATGAATGTCAAATTTGAATGTAAGCAACACATTGAAGTAGTCAATGGACAATGGCTTTACGATGGGCATCTTGTGTAGCGTTGATTGTTGCCATAATAGGATATTGCGTTGCATTTAATGATTATACTATCATAATAATCTTGGAAATTCATTGGGTTTTTTTGAATACACTTTATAAATATTAAATATTTGATATACTAATTGAATTTGCTTTGCAGTTTTGCTTTACTGTTTCAATGTTCAAGTGCCACTTGGAGTGAAGCGTATTGCTGAACAATTGGGTGTGGAAATCAGTTGCTTTAATGTTATTTATCGTTTGGTAGAAGATTTAAAAAGTCGTTTATCGAATTGTCTTCCGGAAGAAGTAACAATGGAACAAGTTGGCGAAGGACATGTGATAAAAAGTTTCTCGGTGATTGTTGAGCGAAAAAAGCAGTCGATTGGCGGAATTCTGGTAGACTGGGGTACTATCAACAAGTAAGTTTCTTTCGGATTTTATGTTAAGCCATGAAATCGTAACTTTATTTTATTTTTCCCTTTAAAGCGTTCAAGAATACCTATGTTGATCTTGTGATTTGTTGGTTCAGATGTAATTATTTGGATCAAGTGTTCAAACTAGCAGTCAAAATCTCAAATTCATAGACTTGCAGATCGGATTTACTGCGGGTGCTGAGAGACACGACTGTCATCTTTGAGGGTTCTATACGTTCGATGCGTGTTGGAACACAGGTAACTTTCCTTCGTTGTAGAATTGAATTGGAGTGACCAAACTGTTTGTGAACAGGACAAGATCGATGTCTTTCCATTAATTTACTGAATATCCACAATCTGATAGAATCATGTTTAAACAAAATATGATTTAGGCTACAGTTTTCTCTAAATCAAATGCATTTAAGGCAGTAAGTTCGGCAAGCAAAAACGAAGAGGTAGGCGTTGCTGTATCGAATGACAAGATCGTTTTCAAAGAGGACGACATTGTTGAAACATATCGAGAGAAGAAAGTGAAAAGGCAGATTAGTTGGGACCCTCCGGGTTTTTAGTTTTACTATGAAAAATGTGTCTGTCTAGTTTAGATTGAAGGAATATTATTGGTTGGTTTTGCGATGTGATGTTGATATAGGATCTTTTGTAAAAAATGTAAATAAAGTATTGAGATCCTTGGATTTTTGTTCAGATGCTGTTCTGCTGGGCGAATGAACTGTAAATTTCTTTATTGGAAAGATCAGTTGTAATAGACTACAAAACATAAAACAAAAAATTTACACACTTCGAAAGAGAACTTTGTGTTATTGGAAAGTATGAAACATAGAAAAAGTGCTTAAAATGATTTGATATACTAAACCCTGTCGAAAATGATTCCAGGGATCGTTAATTGAGAAACCAAATTGCGATAGTAAAGTTCTGTGCTTTTAATTGTCCAGAAGATTCACGAAGCTTATCCATAACTCAGGTAATAATTGCTTTCTTTTTACATTTTCCTTACTGCTTCTGTACGGATATATACATCTCTCTTACTAATATATCGCCTTGAAGACCAACTTGGATTCATAAAATACATGAAATTATGCACTGTAGAGAGAACTTAATTACAGATAGAGTATTAGTACACATGAAGGCTGCAAAACAATGAGAAATAATCAGGCACTAGTATGGCCATGAATTAATGGCATATTCACCTGGAGAGTGATACTGAAAAATCTCCAATTTCTAACTTTAAACTTCTCAGGTCCTAATGTGTGAAACTGAGTAGACAGGTACCAAATATACACTGCTCCAGAAGTTTGCCATTACTGAATTCAAGGTAGGTAGTTAAAAACATTAAAAGATTAACCTAACAAGTAAATAAGTAAATAAAGTTTGGATATCAATTAAGGTGAAAATCATATTGCGATCATAAAAGTAATCTCCTTCCCAACTGCCCAAACAAATACTGTTGGAACAAATCATTAACATGAAGACATGTAATTTCTGCATCGTTGAATATCGCACAACAAAAATCAATCAATTTGTTGGAAGTCGTATACACAATAAAAAATGAAAGTCATTTAAATTAAATTAGAAAATATAAATTTAAATCAAAAGCTTTACGAGCAGTAATAAGGCACGAAAAGCTGATCACTATGAAATCATAGGTTGCATCACAATTTCTCGGAAGATGTAAATAATATAAGCATTAAAAACAACATAGCATTCATAACAAAAAAGAAATTTAAACAAATTATAACTTAATGGGTTTCTCTTAAGCACTTCGAATTAACTAAAGAGAAAATCAAGTAACTCTAATTCACGACAAAGAAAATGGAATGATGAAGAGTATCGGCGCTTTGATTAAAGAATATTTTAGCAGTGAGATCTCTTGGCCCCTTTGCAAATTTGGTATTCTAAACAGCAGTAGTCAAATTTTGAAAAAAAAAATCCAGGAAATTATAAAAGCTCCAGAAACATTCGTCGTGATTACTGCTTTGCACCTGCTTATTAATTCTGTTTTGCCATGTTTTGTTGCAGCAGAGCAAGCAACTGTTGTCCATGCCGCTGGAAAAATTCCGCTGGATCCATGTTACTGGTAATGTTATGGAAATTAGCATTACCATCACTAGTGCTAGAAAGTTGCTGAACTGGAGCACTGCAATAACAAGCTATAAGAATTAATGATAAAACAAATGAATGTATCGCAAATAATTCTGCAGGAAAAATAATAATATCCGTTTATTCGCAGCATCTAAAGAAGACATTAATTCAATATCTGTTGATTCTCTCTATTACCACAGTCTTTATTACTTATATCCATATCAAGTTATAGAAAAGAAAAAATGAAAGCAAAGAGATATACCATTGCCGTTGACCAGGAAGACTATTTGGACTTTCGCTGTGTCGTCCATCTGGATCATAACGGTCATCATTGCATTCCATCCGTTTAAGGCTTGTTCGCATTGCTTGATTCAATAAGCGTAGCATTGTCTCGCGATCATCCGCTGGTAATTCTTGCGAAGTTTCTAGCTATAAAATGAAGATTGAACTTTAATGGAGCAAATTTTAAAAGAATTAAAACACATAATTCTTTAACCACTAAACAAAAATCAAAAGAGTGAGGCAGTCTATAATTTAAACTACGAATAAGTTAAACGTAAAGATAATTTAACATATTCCAAATTGAAACGATAATAGAGGAATGATACATTGTTAGCTTTTCAGATAAATACATTGAATCAATCTATTTTCAGTAATATTAACTCCTAATTTTAGCTGGTCATCTAAATCAAATTTCATCATCAATAACAAAAACATATACTTACTAGTTGACGTGCTTGCAAAACTTTATCCAAACCCGTATTGAACTGCTCTAAACATTCCGCTATATGTTTTGCCATTTCTAAAGTAAAAAAAAAACGTTTAAATAAGTGAGAATATAAAACAAAACAGACAAACACAAAAAAAAAAAATATAATCATTAAAACTGTCCATTATTAGAATCACTAGGTGAGCTATGCCGAAACAGACAGACCTCTTATTAGATAAATTTCAATTATAATTTGACAAACAATAATAAAAGCAAACTTGGGCAAAACGAAAAAAACTAGGAAACATGTAAATTTATTCTTATTATAACTTATAATTAAATACAGCTCCTATATTTGGTACCGGTTCCTGTACTTTCAAAAAATGACCTTGAACAAGTGAACTAGATTGTAATAAGAATTAAATTACCATCTACCAATTGCTGCTGCGTTCCTGAATATATCATAGATGGGTAATAATAGCACTGATTTTTATTAATAATATTGGTCATACTGCTGCTATTGTTGGCTGCAGAAGTGAAAAAAAAGGACATATTCCTAGTGTCACCTGAATGGTGTCCTCGATGATAATTCATCGATTTTAACGGTTTGTTAACTAATAAATAACATTGACGACTAATATCACTAACAACGCCAACATTTTCTGAAAACCGGTTCCTGTCGATTTTTGAGACAGAATTAGATTTTTTTTTGTTATTCAAGTGATGGTAATAATAACGTTGTAGAAATTGGCCAGCCAGTTTTCCATAATCATTATTATTAGACTCATTAGTTCTACCATTATTCTTGACGACATCTACTTCATCGCTGTCAACATCATCAATGTAATTGTTACTATCATTTCCGTTATCAACAGGGCAACTATAGCGTACTGTTAAATCAGTACTGATATCGTTTTTATTACAGTTGATGCCATCATTAGCGGAACTTCTATACTGCCAAATGATCTGCTTGCTACTAACAGTCTTGTCATCACTATCAGTACAAATACCAATATCATTGCTGATATCAACACTACGACTATTATTGTTTTTGACACATGATTCCGTAACTGTGTTAGTAATATCTTTAACAGGTGATTCTACGGCAGTGTCAGCAGTAACGGTCGTACTTCGATGTCTGCGAAGAAAATAATCAGATACAGATTCATAATGACGCTGCAGCAACTTCTCCCCACGTCCTTTTCTGCATGAGCCATATAAATCCCATGACGTATTCATTTTTGTAACATTACGTATCGATTCAAATGTTGTTCTTAATAGAGGTCGCGGTCGCACATCTATATCAAAATCTGGTATTGAAAGATAAACTGGATGCATCCTCTGTCTCTGATGGAAAATATTTAGTTTATTATTATTAAAATGGGATTTCGCAGATATTGACTTTGGTTCTACTGATAAATAATGATGTTGTTTATTGAGATCAGGTACAGAATGAGAATAATGATGCTTCTGCCATTGGCGTTGACTCTCTGAAGTATATCTTCGTCGCCTTCCCTCAAATTTTGCCAACTGTAGCAACGGGAAAATATTGCGGGTCGGTAAAGAAGAACAGATGTTGTAGCAATCGCTACCGCTATCAATTATTTCAGGTGGACTGTCCGTAAACGTAACACTACGTCGTTTCATGCTGAATGAAATACTAATACTTGGAAATACTCAAAAGTTACTCGTTATCCGTTATCGAGAATATAATATTATCAATAATAGTAGCAACAGTCACAGTAATAACAGCAGTAAGGAAGGAAGTAATGCAAGGTTATCAGTTACTGATACTTCATTATGATAGTAGATGACAAATGACCATCGACTATCCGCAAAGAAGAGAGCAAATTCATAACTTTAAACCTTCTAAATGAACTTCGTCTGGTGAACGTCCTAATCGCACTCAAAGGTCATCACAATACTACACTGATATCAATAAAATATTTGTGATCATACCATCAAATGGATTACGACAACTACCAAATATATAGAGAGAAGTAGATTAATATATAAATTCTGTGTCGTCTAACCTTAACCACAATAATCGGCTTTTAAGATTTGAATCTATGAATTAGAAAAGAATAAAACGAAACGAATTATGATTGAACTCAGAACAATTCTGTAGAAATATTACTAATGCTATAAAAATATGAAATACAATACCAGTACTATAAAAATAAATTTTAGTTTTGAAATTCTAAAATCGAAATCCTTGAAAGAAGTTGAAATCTAGTGGTCTTATAGACTGAAACACACAACAATATCCACACACCAAGATCCACCAATTTCACATATAAGATACATGACAGAAAGCAAATTATAGACTTAGGATTTTCAAAACACAATAAAAACTTAGGTTTCTAGAAACAGAACGCTAAAAAAGAATTCTGTTAGTGATCGGATTATAATAAACCAGTAAGAAATTCAAGCAAAAATTTTAACTAGAACAAGGAATTCAAGCAAATAAGTAGAAGAAAAAAAAAAAAAAAAGAACAAGGAATTGAGAACACAAAATACGATCATCCACAGATTTTCTGAATAGTTACACACGGAATTCAATTGGACAAATAAATTGAATGCTGCTTAGAGAAGCAAGGGAAACAATCAAAGGAGAGGTTTTGATGTAATAGCTGTCTACCACAAATTTCTTTCAAGTTTATAAAAACAATCCAATAACAGTACTGTACTATTACTGTTCTACTTCTAATAATATTATCAGTACTATCGTCAAGGCCAGTCTCGCATACCTCAATTTCTTTATGTCCAATACCTATACATTTCTTTCTGAAAACTTGCACTCATAAAATTAAAAATCTGTAGGTCGTTCTTCAAAAACGAGATATTGAATAGAGAAATGAAAGGAATAGTCGCGCTTATAAATATGCTGAATATTTTAAACAACCATGGTCAGATTAAACAATGTTTTCTATTTTACGATAAGACCCTATTATATTCATGTTGGAATAAATATTTTTGAACATTCTTCATATTTCAATTTCTATTAGAACACTAAAAGTTTTCAACGATATTGAATATATCTCATTTTAAATATTGAGAACTCCTCCAATATAATAATGTGTATTGGTAGCTATTTTTAAATCGGTCCAAATAACGAGAAAAAAATCTCACTGAATGTAACAATAATATTCCTTACCATTAGAAGCTTTAGAATGCCAATATTTACAAAATTAACTCAAGAAGTCTTCTGGATCAGCATTTCTGAGTACTAAATTTATTTCTAGAGATAGTAATTAATGAAGGATCGTAATATAAATCAAAGAAATTAATCAAAAAGATTAATCACTAATCTTAAAATTCTACATTTCATAAATTAGATTAAAAAATAAATCCTTTAGATATAACACAAAATATTTTAACTACTTACGTTTTGATTGATGAGTTTTAGTAGCAAAATCCTGGAAAGCTACCACTTCACTCGATGGTATTGATTGCTGCGAATATTCTTCGCTACCCACATCTGGTGCCACTATGTCACTACTACAGTACATGAAGTATTAGGCAAAAAGTTGAGAACAGAAAAGATGTTTGTGACAAAAAATGAAAACCATATTTCTTGTTTAGTAAAGGCAGCATCTCTAAAATCAGCAGATGTGTGAAAATATAAAAATTCAAATAAACATAAAAAATTAATAATACAAACTAAAACCTTGCAAGTTTTTGAGCCAAATAACTTGGAACTCGACGTTGCGTATTTGAAGAACTGTGCCTTTGTAGCGGTTCGAAAATACGACGAGTTTGAAGGACGCTTTGTCTTGGCATAGTTTCAATACATGATATACTCCTGAGATAAAAAGATAACTTGCTTTTTATTTAGATATTTTAAAAAGATTTGAGATGAAAATCATCCATAATTGAATTGGATTTTCAAACCTGTTTGTGCCATTAATGGTGGTAAAATATCGCCGTGGAGTAAATTGTTGCCCGGAAGTTCCACCTGTCTGTAGCAGCGGTGACCCGTTAACTTCTGAACTATTACTATCACTTTCACCACTTGTCGTATCTCGAGATATCCGACTTCGTGGCTGATATCTTTCAACCTAACAAAAAACAATGTTATAGTTTGTTCTAGTGATTTGTTTGTTTTTATTCTTTGTCATCGGTTTATCTCTGTGTTTACCTTCACATCATATCAAAGATAAAGCTGTTTAGAAAGATATTAAATAAGGGAAAAATAACCAACTCGCTTCTGTACTGCTCCTTTACCCTTTTGATTACGTGTTGAAAGAGCTAACGGAAACAAATGCTCCGGTTCATTTTCTGTCTCAAGCAGAACATCACTTGCTTCACTAGCTTCAAACTTCGAAAGATCCGGGTTACTATAAAGAAGCTTTGGATAGAATAAATCTCGAACAACAGCCTAATATAACTTTTAATACTAATCTTTAAAAAAAACCTATCTTCTGCTGTTAGTAATTAATTTCATTGGCTAAAACAATTTCTGGTGAATGGAAAAACGACTCAAGCCTTTTAAACTTCTCAGTGAATAAGAAATTGTCCCAAATATAAAAAGACTTAAAACTCAACAATTTAATAAACAGAGAAAGAAATAAATTTCCAAAAACCTCGCTTTCTTTAGATTCTCGATAGTTTTTGCCAAATTTCGTTCAGTTTTTGCACCCAAAAGTACTTCTGGTTGGCTCAAAAGATTGTTACCATTTAATGTATCGCTTCTTTCCGAAGTACTATATAAATTACCAACTGAACGAGCAATTAAACGATTTCGAATATTCAATCCCGGTGCACCACTAAAAATTACTCAAAAACTATGAACATTTCAAGAAAAAATAAACTGGGCATCAATATATGCCAACCATACTATAAATTAAAAGCAAGCTTAAATCTTATATCAAAAATGTTTCATGCTATGTGCGTTACACAAGTAAATTTTTTTTTAAAAAAATACTTAAAATATGACTACCAACAGTTGGATAGCTAAATTCTGGAATAAAAATTGTACTTCATTGCAAACATCTTGTTGCAATTTCAAACAAAACTAGAAAATCTGGATTTTTCATTTAAATTCTTTCGTAACCAGACCCTAGCTCACTAACATCTGCTATAAATTCTATCATTCTAAGAAGTAGCAGAAAATTAACTTTTCAAGTTACGTTCAATTAATTCAACAATACTTGACATTCTGGACTCGTAAGTGACAAAACCATGTTTCCACGAAACCGATTAACCCTCTCACAAACACCAGAAAAAAAATATATGAAAAATGTTATGGAGTATCCTCTTTTACTAAAATCTGTTTTGTATATTCTATTATTATATATTCTGTTATTAAACTATCGTTATGCTCCTTTTAAACGAATTTTATGCTGGAGTTATGGGAAAACTAGTGGAATAAGATCACTAAATGAAATTAAATAAGAAAAGGAAGTTTGTCAATACATGAACGATTCATTAATACGTAATTTATGAATACTCTCAAAAAGTTTACTGAAAAAAAACAAAAGAATAAAAAAGTCCTAATCTAATAACAACAACTTCACTTTATCACAAGAGATTCTTACACCTACGTTACAATGCGGTTGGTTTAAACATTTATTCTCATAAGCATTTGGGAAAGTAATTTAGAAATTACTTACGCAGGAGTGTTGTCAGCATTTAATCGTGATAGATATGATCTACCAGCATCGCTATTAGTATTAAGTAGTGGACCAAGCCCAGGTCGATTTCCACTAAGTGGTGCAGCGGCTGTTAGCCGAAGATTACCGAATGATTTTGAACGCGACATAATATTTGGATAAACTGCTGAGAAACTGTCATCATTCAGAGGTCCAGCCAAATTCTCCTGCGACTTGCGTAACCTAAACAGTAATTAATATCACATCAAATAGCCCAGCCCAAGCTTTCCATTAATTAACAATAAAATAATTCGCTAAACCCGCAATCACGATTAAAAATAGTACGTCTACGTACAAGAAAAGTAATGTACGAATACAATGCAGAGTTTGATCTCCATCCGGTACACCGATAAAATTAGAACTATGGATGATATGACATGAAATTTTAAATTGCTCGACCTGAATCACATGGATTACATACTTAATGTAAGTCGAACAGACTGCTAAAAAAATTTGATCTGTCAAACAAGAGGATTGCGAAATATGACATAATCGATGAATAAGTGTTCAAAAAAGAACTTGCATAACTCTAAATAAATTACTCTAGGAGAACTGAATGACATATTTTCAACATGACTATACTTCCAGTCATACGAACTATTTCAAAATACAGATACATTGCTAAATAGCTATAATCAATTAAACTCTGTGGAATGCAGAGACATGAGTGAAAAAATGATCGAATGTTCGGAGGGAGTGACATATTTCTAGTTCAGCAAATATAAGATGACAATTACTTAACATCACCAAACAAAAAACGTCATTATTGATTAATACAGACGAGACAAGAGTTGTAGCTGATGTATGCATACAACACTGAACTGCAAAAAATTTTATGCATACAACAATGAATTGCAAAAAACTAGTAGTTTCTACGTTAGGCTTACATTATTTGGTAATGGAAATGTTTTCTTCGGAATTTTCAAACAAGTTTCAGAAGCAGTGAAAAACAAGACAGCAACAGAATTCAACGAGATGAATCAGAAAATCTGACAGAATCGTTTCAAGTAACTCAATCCATAGCTGCCCCTACAATCATAACTTCTGAATACTTCTATATATAAAAAGACCTGTCACGCAATCCTGCCAATCGATTTAACGTCTGTGACGATTGTTGCTTATTAAGAGTGACAGCTCGTAGATTCGTCCGTGATGAAGATGGTGTCAAGCGAGTAGAAGCCATTGTTAAAACTGAATATGTTGACATATCAGAATCCTGGAAAGTTGCAAAACTTATGTAATGCTTCAGAAAAGTTGATCTGCATTATACAAACGTAATCAAAGCAAGTTGTTTACTTGTCGCTGCCGTTTCCCATTTCCTAGGACATTGAGAGCGAGCTGCGACGGGCTTTGACTTCGACTGCGTAAATGGAGGTCAGATGAGGCGTAATCATCTTCTGGAAAGGAATAAATAATATGTTTTACTTTCAATTTCAAATAAATATGTCAAATAGATCGAAAACTGTAAAACTCTGTACAATCATTTTTTTTAAAAAAACTGCTATAGTCATAAGTGCTTTCAACTCATTTTTAATGACTCTATCACCTCATAAAAAAAGAAATTTGAAAAAAAAAAATGTAAATTTCCAAGCCTAATTAGTTTACAAGAGTGTAGGTTTTAATTAGGTATGACAGAAATAAGCACTTAGCTTATGGATGCCTTCAAAAGTAAACAAAAGCTGCTGGCTAACCCTAAAATCGAGAACTCTGTAGATAGGAACGTAAGAGAATGGGAAAAAAAAATGAAAAGAGCGATGTCTCGATTATTTTGTATTTTCTCTCTATTATTAGCTTTCCAGCTACAGCTAACATCGACTCGGATAATATTAGCTAACAAATTTTTTTTTTACAGTCATGAAACCTTCGCAAAAACAAAAAATTTTCATTGAAACTTTTTAACTCATTTTAGCAAGCATATTTATGAATCATCTTTCCAGTGAAAAAGTTCCAAATAAACAGCTAAGTACCGGAAATTACAGCAAAAAAAAAAGAATTATTTGAAAGAATTTTTTTTTATGGAATTATTTAGAAGATTTCAACTTAGCGCAACAATGGAAGCGCACATTCCTTTATCTCAAAAGCAGAAATTGCCAGCCTAAATTTGAAATGTAGATAAATTTAAGCCATAATTTACAACACTAACTCTCCACATCCACATTTACAAGGTAAACAATAGACCACAAATCACCATAATAGCATGCTAGCAAAATCCTAGCCGTGAATATCTCTAGCTATAGTAATTCTTGCTATAATGAATCGAAACCTCCTGTAATTGTCATTCGTCGATTTTTGATGACATCATTAATCACTTGGCAACGAGCTAGTGGACTTAAAGCTCGACCTATGACTGCGGTGTTTAAATTATTTTTTTCTTGTTGTTGATGCTGATATAAACGCGACAAAGTAATGTGCAAGTCGGATTCTGAAAGCAAAACACAAGCACAGTGCAGAGACAACAAAGTAGTATATTCAAAAGGAAGCGAAGGTATTGACTCAGAGAGAAATTTGGCATACAGGCGTAACTGCTCATGTAATACCACACATATTTATCTATGCAAATAACGATAGTTGAAGTTGGAGGAATTTTCTAAAAGCTGGCGTGAGACTTATAAAATTAAAATCAGTGTGGAATCCAAAACTAGCAATAAATCAATAGCTCTGCATGCGAATTCTCAAAAGCTATCACCAGTAATAAAGCACAAAAGGAGGAAGACACAACACAACAGAAGGTGCTGGTGCTAAAGTGCTATAAATACTTAAAATTAAAAGCAACAACTGCAAGTCTTCATAAAATATAATGTTTAAAGATAGACAATGATTCAATTATTAAAATTATATTTTAACAACTGGAAAACTAAATATAAAGTACTGTTGTTTCAAGAAAAAAAATTATTTTTTGAAAATATAAGGACTACTAAAAAATTCTTTGATACATAAACAGTTGATACAATTCTCATTTGAAATATTCTTTTTAAATAAGTATATTAAACTGCAGGAAGTAATCTTGAACTAACTTCGTCGTGTTACTGGGATTGTTCGTCCTGATACTGTAGTATAATGCATATTGCTTGCCGATCGCCTGGTACCAATCAAAGGCGGAGTCCATACTGTCTGTGACTATAAATATATATATATATAATCCTCTATGTTGTAAGAAATTTTGAAATATTCTTAAAACATTATATCATAAAATTTCCCAAAATTCCCTTACAAATTATAATCAAATATCACTTGCTGATTATAAAGAATGAAACTTCCGATGATGGTACAGGAAGAGAATTCCAATTATAAGTAATGAATAAAAGAACAAACCTCATTACTTCTGATTCCTTTTAGACGTTTTGTTAAACTACAACGTTTCACGCTAGACCGACTAAACGCCGAACTAGGAGACTGAGACAACACTGAGGGCGAAACTTTAACTGGTGTGATGCATGATTCAGAAGATTCTTCGGTATTCCGCACTGTGTTATTGAGTGGAGAAGAGACATGTTGCTGCAACTCAACAATTCCCGGTTCTGATATGGAATTCGGTATTTCTGCAAGAAGAAGGCATTTAATTATGCAGAAATTTTCTTCATCGAAATTCATCTACAATTTTTTTTTTTCATGTATTTTTTTCATTCATTATATACAAAATTCATGGGTAAACAAATCTAGGACAGTATTTCATCTAAAAGCTCTGTCGAAAATAACGTCTTAGTTCTTTTCCGACCTATTATACTGAATAGGAATTTTACCTATCCTATAACAAATCGAGACATTAGTTGAAAAAAAAAGCGCTGCAAACAAAAATCTACTGAAAATTTGTTAACAGCAACAAACTCTTGTGGATATTTCGTTCGGGTGAACTCGGTGAATATTGCATTTGATTACCATTCATAGTCATAGAATTATTTAACATATTTTCCTTGGAGGATGATGGCTGGATGGATGACGGGAAGATGTGCATTTCAGAGGGTGGCACATCGAATGAATTTGATATTAATGATGAAACATAAGTTGGTGTATCTAAATAATTAAATAAGTTAATTCATGCCACAAAAAAGGTAACAAGAGTGACCACAATGTAATGCTTAGACTGCAATCTTTAAAGAGGATTTCCGCATAAACCGTATGTCCGAACAGACTAATAATAAAGAAAGAAAGGAAGAATCAGAAAAAAAGAAAGAGAAGTTAATAATAAAAAGAAAGAATCGAAAAAAAAGAAAAGTATGAAATGATAAATGGTCACATTTTGGCACTTAACATCGATTATTTTAAAGTTGAATGCCAATTCTGTCCTTGATTTCAGATCAAGCTTGTAAAGAGTAAACGTACCCCTAGTGGGGCTAAGTGACACATCATCCCACTTTTTCCGTGGTTTTCGTGTTAAAGCATCGCTTCCCGCTACTATAGCTGATGATCCATGACTGCCTATGCTTCTCCCTTTAACACCATCAGCACCATTTCCGGTACCATTAGAGTGCACCGCTGCGGCAGTTGTCCCTGGTAGTTGAGAAAATCGTAAATTAAAAGGTGTACTGCTTATAGTGCATATATCTTCTCCTCTTCCAACGGTCGTGTTACCGCCTAATTGCTGCTGGACAAAGTTCATTGTCCCTAAAGATCTACCTGCGCCTGCAGCTGTTGATGTTGGTGTTTGCTCATCATCGGAGAAATCTGCAAGAATGAATGAGTCGGTGACATGAAAGGCAGGTCAGAAAATCGTAAAAATCTGAAAAAATGATCCAAATCAGCAACAGTATGAGTATGAACCACCAAATTTCAGCACAGAGTGGGCAAGAAAAAAGAATAACAGATTGGGAAGAGATAAACAAATGAAATGGAGAAATGTAAAATAAAAAAACAAGGAAAAAAGAAGGGAGAAGAAAAAGAATCACTGAGAAAAGCTGAATACCACTACTTTACATCCATTTTCAATGTTATAAAATTAATGCTTTCAAGGCAAATTTTTTCATTTTAATCAATAACTAACCAAAAAGCTAGAATCATTTATTATTAGTAAAGAAAAAGAACTAGAAACAACTCACTAGTTATGTAACTGAATGATCAAACAGTCTTTAAATCCAATATTAAAGTTTCGATCCTTTTTAGCTTATGATACTAAGTTTATGTTTAATGATGAAGTAAAATTATTAAGCGCAAATCTTACGAGCAAATGGTGTTTACTTATAAGATTTCAAATCATCAAACCACTCCAAAAGAAATTAAGCTGAATCATGAGAGCAATTTTTCCCGTCTAATAATGAGTAGAGCAACACATGTTACAGTTTTCTTCTTTAATGGACGGAATTTGAAATAACATTATTTATTAAACCCCAAAATAAAATTATTGTGAATTATAAAACCAAACAGATATTTGATTAAAACTGAAGAAGTGAGAATAGTTACAAAGATGGAGAAAGTAACTTGAAACGTCTTTAACGCCAGCAATACAAATTCAGGAGTAGCGAAAATTAATTACCGAAAACTCCTCATACATAATCTCCTCTCTAAAATTTGAAGCCATTTATTAATTTAGTGACAGATTAAAATCACCGTGCCAAAACAATTAAAACCAAATAATTACCATTAGCTGCTGAAGCAGTATCCCAGTTGGTAAGTTGATCATTCATCATCCCACTTGTACTACGTCTCACAACTTCTGTTGTCACTCGCTTCAGTTCGAAATTGTCACTGTAATTGCCAACTGTAGAAATTCAAAACTAAAAATTTGACTGTCAAAAGCATAAAGTGAAAATATTTAAACTCTACATGTTACAATCTACCTCAGGGTTGCAATTTCAATTATAATATAACTTACGATCAAAAACTTTATTTTAAAGAAAAAAAATTTTTGTTGTGAAAATTGTCAAGTAAACACAAACATTATATTGAAAATCAAAACAACAGAAAAAATTAAATGCAAGATAAAGACAAAATCAGATAATGAAAAGATAGAATTTTTTTCTTGTAAGGAAATGGGGACATTGCAATACTAATTCTGTAGCTAGATTAAGAAAGGTTCAATGACCTGCAATTTTATAGATGAAAATTAAAAATATAAATACATCAAAAATTAGTTAAGTATATCAAGAGGTTCAGTCATATTTCAATAACAGATTCAAACTATTAAATAGAGAATAATTTTAAAAAGTTATTATAAATAAGAAAAAAAAAAAAAGCAGGATGGTAAGTAAGGTATTACTAGGAGCAGAAACTGCACTAGAAAACAGATTTAAAGTTAAAGGACTATAATGGTTTTAGAAAGAACCAAAAACTGAAGCAATATAATAATGTACATATTCATCATTTATAGCACCTACATCTAATAAATGGTGAGACATAACCGATGTCAGAATAGGCAAATGGTGCGACAAACTTCAGTACTTTTATTTACCCTCTTTATATCTCAACTATTCCTTAAACTAAGTGTACATTGTGTGAAGATGTGTCACGCATACCTATGTATTCCCTCTATACTGCCATATTTTAACTTGCCACTGTAGAATGGACGGAATACATTTCCTAGAGAATGAAGGTCAAGGATAGTGTCATGAAAAGATCTAAGACAAATGGCTAACACATTATCATTATTCATTATTTCAGCCTCGCTTTCCTTTCAAATCAAAACAGGAAATTATAGCATATAAAGTTGAAACGGAGAAAAAAGCATACTCTGTAATCACACTACTGAATGGAGTATTGATAATCACTGTTGTTGGCTTCCGTCCCATACAACTATCCGAATCTTCATCACCAATTTTAATGCTGCTTAGAGAACCAAATTCGGATTCTGAATCTTTCAGCTACAAAATATCAATTTATCGATTGTGAAGCAACTTATTAACTTCTTTAAGTCGCGGAATTCTCTTGCTATACAAAGAATAAACTGGGGGTAAACATAATGCATTTTTTGAGATAAAATCTGCATAAACGTTTCCATTCTAAACATTAACATTTGCTGAGGTAAACGTAACTAAGATGAAATGCATTTTTTTGAGATAAGATCTGCATAACCATTTCCAATCTAAACACTAAGACTTGCTGATATCTTCACCATATTACAATGCAAAACAAAATTTAATAATCACTTTAAAAGCAATACAATGTTGTTAACTTGAAAATATTAAAATCAATTTTAAAAAATCAAAATCAAGTAGAACCTCCAGTGGAGTCGACCTTCTTGTAAAAAATGCAATATATCTCTTATCAAAGCTCTGTGATAGTTCGATGAGGTTAAAAACAATTCTCAAGAACAGCTTTCAGCTGCTTAATCATTTTTTTTTTTTTGTAAACATATTTGCTGCTTAGTACTACTAGTTAAACCTAGAAAAAGAACAATAACAAAATTTAACCTTCGCATTTCGTGTATACTCCATGTGTTCATCACCAGCTGCATCACTGCCACTCCCCAACAAACTATCTGGTGTTTCCGACCTAATAATTATGTAATTTTAGTCGAATTTGAAAGTTCATTTCCACACTACAGAGAAGCATGAATAAAACCTCCGTATAAGCCTTACGAGTTCCTGGAGTACTGAAGAAATAGATAAGCCAGCGGGAACAGCTGCTTACCGTTCACAAAGTTTTTCAACTCCTGTGGTGCAAGTATTCCTCGTGATTTGGGATTTTCGTATAGCCATCATTTTGCTGACAAGGAAATTGGACAGTCGCCACACGAAAATGCAACCGCTATAGGAAACAACATATAATCGTCTGCAATACTTCAAACAAATTAAAACTGACTGCTGAAAATCTATGCATCTCCGAAAACAAAATGTATTGGAAATCATATTTATAATACCAATAAGATAGATTTTTAAATTGAAGTTATTTTTTTCTATTTTTATTTAGCTCTCTAGGCTCAAAAAATACCCTGAAATTTACCCATGAAAAATGAAATATGATAGAGTCTTCTTTAGATGAATAGGTATATCTCTAATAAATTGAGACTTCATCTAATCTTAAAATTAACCTGCAATCAGCGGAAAAAGCAATATCTGTAATGTTATCTGATTGGCCAGTCAATATAGCAGCAAATTCTCCCGTGGCTATATCAATGATATAAACATTTCGATTTGTACATACTGTCGCAGCATAAGTTCCTGATGGATCCAGTCGTACCTGTATAAGAAAGTTTCCATCTCCAATTATAAACAGCCTTAACTCTTTATAATTGAAGATAACAGCTGCACTATAAACTTTCAAACTCTACATATAAATGAGATCAACAGAAACAAATTTGTCAATAAGATAAAAACCTTAGTGAGTTGTCCATCATCACTTGCAGCGCCTTTAATCTGCTTTACAAGCCTTCCCTGAAACGAATATGTCCGAAGCTGACGATCCTGGCAAGCGGCAACCATTCCGTCAGCACTCAACACGACAAAGTTCAAGCCAAATTGCGATTTTATATGAGTTGTACGTGAAAAAGTCACCAAAGATGGCTGCAAGAAAATTAGTTAGATAAAATCAGATAAAGTTCAAATATATAATCCAAATGTTCTCAACGGAAGAAACGGTTCGGAACAGCTGTGTTATTAACAGATTTCGCTTATACATTACCACTGAGTAAATAACAACTTGCACCCTATTGTTTAATTAACTATTCTGATCAAAATTCACAGCCTTCCCATTCTAAATGGTCTCATATAGTCTAAACTGTCTCAATTTACTAAATAATCGACTTTAAATATATAGTAAAGATACTCGATCATTAAAAAAAATAAATAAATAAAATCATTGCAAAATTACTTCTGAATTGACCATCTTTCTAATCACAATTGAACGATCAGCAGCAGAACTTATCAACTGCAAATTACCAGCTTCCTGCAACACAGCTATTTAATTTTGTTGCAGATTGGTAAGAAATCTTTAAAATGAAAATAAATTAAAAATTTATTAAATTAAAAATCCAAACAGCATTGATCATAAACCTCTACGAATAGTATTGAATTGACAGTGCTTGTATGATCGTCAATACTTGCTAATGGTTGATATCCATTAAGTGGATCAAACAAGTGCACCATGCGATCGCGACTTCCAGTAGCTAACAGATAACGAGCTAAAATAGTAAAACTGTAAAAACTTAATGATAAATACGGAAATAAGGTAAGGAGGACATATGAAAAGTAATAAGGAAGTTATCTATCAAAATCAGTAAGTTCATTAATCATTCATTTCTTATAAGTATACCATTGTATGTCCCATATGAATTAAATAACAAAACTTGTTATTCACAAATTAATGGTTCCCCAATTTTTTTAATGTCGTCTTTTATTTATTGATATTATTAACTAACAAAGGAAAGTAAAGCTCTGCCTTACTAACAGTAAGATAGAAAATCCATAAACTTCGATGAATTATTACAGTAAAAACTCACCACTTTGTGGGTCAGAATACTCCATACACATAATATCACTTTCGTGAGCTTCAAAAAATGCAATCATTTCCATAGTTGGTACAGTTAAATCATAAATACTAAAACAATTTGGTTGAAAAATCAAATTCGAAAAAAAAGATCGAAAAATTTTTTCAAAATATTTTGCACCAATGGCATCAACAATTTCCTCCAAAACTTTTCATGTTTAAAAAAAAAAAAAGATTTACGATAAATTTCCATCTCGACTGCCTGCAGCCAGATGTTTTCCATCAGGACTTATTTTCAAAGATTTTACACCACTGCCTGTATCAGACATGGATGCTCCAAATACTTCTAAAAATAGAATGAAAAGTCGATATAAAGTGAGTTAAATGGAAATTTTTTGATATCTCCTACTTCACCTTTATTACTTTTTGACTAATTTCCACAAAAACAGTTAATGAGTGATGCCGCTGATCTGAGCTGTATATAGAATAAGTCGATCCATTTTAGTTAAGATAAAACATGAAACATGCCATCTGGAGATTCGTTAAGTTGAGAATCATTATTGGTAATAAAAATAACTTTTTTCAAGTCATCCGAGAATACATTCGCATATGGCAAAGAAGTCCGCTTGTTCTGCAAAAAATAGAATATAATTTATTAATAAATGAAACTTAAGATTTTTAGAGTCCTGAATGAAATTTACCATGAATCAGGCAAAAAACAAACCTCATCAAATGATCTTAATGGATGATCCACATTCCATATGCGAATAGTTTGATCTGCACCACCCGTTATGATTGAACTTTGTGGTAACCATTCGAAATTTGACGGATAAACCTGCAAAACTCATTATTTTCTTAAATAATTAAAAAAAAAAAAAAAAAGCGAACCAAACACTATTTATGGCTTACCTCTAATGAAATCACTGGCCCAACATGAAAAAGCTGTGAAGAAATTTTGAGAATATTCTTATCCGTTTGTTGCCATGTATAAATGGATCGATCGCTATAAACCACAGTAAGCATTCCAGTCTTCCTGTTGTATGCTAATGCTCGCACATCTGGATACCTGAAAAGCATATGCTAAAAATGAAAACTTGTACTTGAGTCATACAAGATTATTCTGAACCACTATTTCTAATAAGACTTATTTATGCTCCCATGAAAATAATTTCCACCCTTAATTTTTCTTTTCATATTCTCTCCTCAGTAAAATCTAAAAATCTTAAGACGATTATCAAGCTTTAAATTCTCATAAATTTAAGGAAAAAAATTGCCGACCTACACCCTATCGGATGTGAATCAGGCGATAGTGCATCTTGTTTTACTCCTTCCGCAACATCACATGATAAATAATGTGGTTTACAGAATGTAAATTTATGCTTCATTGTTGTAATATCCAAACATCTTATAAAACCATTGTTGAATCCAATAAACAGCTCACCAATTCCAAGCACTATCGACCGTGGAACTTCACTGTGTAGGTCATAGGTGCTCACTAACTGAAATAAGTTCACCTCTCAAAATAATTTAATGAAAGCACATGAAATTAAAAATTAATATAAGTTTTAGGTGAAGCAATAACAATAACAGCTGTGTACTGAATGAGTGAAAGTGATAAGAATTCAATATTATATCATTTCACTCGACTGCTGAACATAAAGATGGGACTCTTCCATCATCCAATTCCATCTCCAAAGCAGGTAAGCATAAATTTTAGGATCTTAGTGAAGTACTGATTTAATACAATAATTTATGATATTATGGATAAATTGAAAAAAAAATGCGTGTAAATATAAAAAAGGTAAAAAATAAAGCAATAAAATCGGTATGGCTGAAGCAAACTTGAAAAGGAACTTGAAGATTCCACCATTCAATTGTTACCTTTTTGTCATGAAATTCAATCAAAAGACTAGTTTCTGTAACTGAAAATGTTCGGTTGCCGGGAGCACAACACACATCCAAAAAAGTATTGTTTCGTTGATCAGCCAAAATTGCTGAACGACCCTGAAAATAACCTAGATATAGACTCAAATCAAGTTCTAAATGTAATTCTAAAATAAGAACATAACTGAAAGCAAAGTGAAGTGCAAAAGATAACCACAACAAAGTTCAAACTTAAGAATTCGATTTTTATCGTCATAACAGAATAAAAAATCAAAATCCTATTTGTTATTTTCATACCTGTAAAGGTATACTCTTGGAACTCTCTGGTTTCCTTGTAACATGCCAGAATTTGACATGCCTGATCCCCACCGTTACACATCCGCCTTGTTCTGTTACATCAATTGAATTAACCTAAAAAAACTACTTTTAATACTTTGCACGGTTCACTTTAACGCGAACTTTGTCAAATTCGTAGTAAATAGTAATTTATTACAATCAGTTGTAACCAAATAGATAATCCTGTCATGTCAAAACAAACTAAATTCTATGGATGAATATCAACATAGTAAGAGGTTCCGTAAGTGAAAAATGACTTCAGAAAAATATTTACTTTCGAAGTAAGACGATTTTCAGCAATTTTTTGTTGTGCTCGCCAATCCCAAACTACGATCGAGCGATCATGCTGATTCCCTACTGATACCAAGTGACCATTAGGCGTAAAGCGCTAAAAGTTAATCAATTACAAATACATATCCAAATTTTGAGTCCAACCCTAAAATGCACTTTTAGATTATGAAATTGGCAAATCAAGAGAATTTGTAGTATGAATTGCCACTGAAAACTTACCACACAGCTGATTCCTAACTGATGATGCTTTATATCAACAATTTGGGTAAAAGCAAACTGTCCTTTCGCATCGTATAACTCCCAAACTCGCAGTCGAGGTTCATGTCCAGCCGGAAAAATAATTTATGGATTATTGCTGCACTACTGCTTCAATTTAAATATCATCACCCCGTTTTTCCCAACTTCAAAATTTCATTTTTCTACAAATTAATTCATCTAAGAATACCTCTCCGGTAGCGATGTATCGTCCGCAGAAAGAGAACGATAAGCATGTTATGCTGTTTTTCGTTGTACCAATTAAATGGGCTTGGGCATTATTTCTTGGATTATAAAGAATGACAGTAGCCCTGGAATAACATACAAAATCACATATCTATGAAAGTTCTTTAGATATTTTAGCTCCATTATGTGCATAGAGACTTTATTTTAAAAATTAAAATAATACCTAATATACTACAAAATTTCACATGTAACTCAAAGTAAAACTAGCAGAAAGAAAAACTAAAGAATATAAAAAACCAACCAAAATTTCGGAAAACATATTCAATTCAAAAAAAAAAAAAAAAAAATAAAGAAATTTTCTTTAATTTCCTCTAATTTTTGTTTTAACCATAAAAAACTTTAGTGAAAAATCTTTGTGCTAAATTTTTACGTTAATAATAAACGGGCTGAATAAATAGAAAGTACCATAGAAATATAAAATCAGCAAAGAAACAAAAAGGACATATTACGATGCTAAGAAGCTAATGACATTGAATTAAAATTCATACAACTTTTTTTGCTAATGAAAAGTCCACAAAGATATACCCAGCCGGATAGGCTACAATGCCTTTGATGTCGTCCACTGATACTGACGATCGTGAAACAGCTGTGCAACCTAATACCCGTTCTAATTTTGCCTGAAAAAAAAAATGACAAAATGCATGTAGATATTTCACATCGTATAAAAAAAATTACTTTATTCCATTATTATAACTGCACTTATATCGCTAAAACTATTGCAATTGTCATTTTTATCACTGCATTATTAGCAGATTATATATCTTATTCATTGCTTTCTAGCAAATCAATAAATGAATAGTAATATATGGAAAGAAATAAGTGAATAGTAAAAAAAAAAAAACGAACTGAAAATTAAATTTCGTAAAATTTACAGATAACATATACTTTATCCAAATGATAAATATAAATTTAAATAAAATATTTTACCATATGCATGTGCGGTGCGGATGCGAAAGAGATACACATATAAAATAGAAATAGTTTGCCGCTTCAAAAGATAATAGTCATAGAAATAAGTACGAAGAAATGATCGCAAAAATCAAAGAAAATGAATATGGTCGTTTATCGTTCAAACATTGATATGAAGACCGAAAACTAGGAAAGTTACATAACAATGGAATTATAGATGAAAATTTCCTCGAAAACTGTAAAAACATATAAAATGCATAAATACGTCAGTATATCATCAAACATATATCAAGTACGTCAGATAGGAAAAGCCAAATCGAAGTTAAATATGCAATATTTTTTAAAAATATAATATCAAGGCGATGTGATCTCCCTACTATTAATATGTCACCTTGAAATCTCCAAAAAGAAATTTAATTCTTTCTCAGAATATGATTACTAATTCATAATTCATAAGCATCCATATTTCCAGGGAAAGTATTAGAAAATGTAATGATTAAATACATTAACCTTATTTTTCTGATCATAAGTGAAGCAATAAAATTGAAATGTACTACACATTAAAGTAGGAAATAAAGTGAGAAAGAACTATTTTGGGTAACAAAGAAAAAGCAAATTACCCGCATCAGATGAATTATGCCCGAGAGAATATTTATGAAGTAAAATGTTAAAAATCCGTTAAAAATGTATCAATTTGCTGGATGAAAATCGTTCATCCCAGCTATTTAGTACTAATTTGTCCAAAATAGCAGGCGCAAATTGAGTGTTAAAGTTGCGCATTGTTAATGGTAGCAAATTCGGCTTATCATTAGAGAAGATAAACTGATATGACGATCAATTTGATATGTTTTGAGGTATTGCGGGAAGATGAAGGTGACAAATTATCTGGTAAGTCATCAATAATAAATAATGGAAATTTTCCTAATCCTTCCAATTTTACCTTTTCTATTTTTGCTAAGCTCAATAATATTTTAGAATATAAAATTGTCAGTTAATCCTTATAGAAAAATAAGTTTAAAAAAAAATTAATACTTCGAAATTACCATTTTTCATTAATCGATGAGCTAAATTATTTCTTCTTAATTTCTAAAATAAATATAACACATATGCAGAAGCATTAAAGTGTTATTATCCGCCATGTAATTATTTAATGTTTGTAAGATTAATGATAGACGAAGAAAAAAGAGAAGCAAACATAAATGAAAGAGATAGACACATTCAAATTTGTAATGAAAATATAAAATTTTAACTTATTAATTACTTCGGACAAAAGTTTTATAATTATTTTCTATTTTCATAACCTCTCATTCAATATTTGTTCATTTCATAAATATTTTAAAACGACAGTTAACAGATATCTTTAATTGCTGAATGATTATTCCCGCTTCTGTGAAATTATGAATCGTTT